ACGTTGTATTAAAAAAAATTCTTTTCTCCATATACATATAGCATTGAGCCTTGAATGCAACAAATGCTTCAGCAAAGTATCTTGGGTAGACTGCGAGGATAAGCAATTCACCTGCCCGACTGACAAGGCCGATCGCTGTGTTACATCATATAGTCAAAAATGGTGACGAACAAACATTTTCCAAGTACCTCGGCGCCAGCGAATGCAAGGGTTACTTGTTGTAGAGGCGAACTTTGTAACTCGGGTTTTGCAGCTGCCAAGATCAGCGGTGTCGTGATGTTGACATGCGTATTAACGTTACTGGTGTTTTCAAATTTCTGACTGATTTCACTGTGTACCACTGGGTATTTTAAAAATGTAACTGATATTCTCTTATTTGTAGATAAANGAGGGCCGGGGAAACGAATAATAAGATGTTTTTTTATGGTTTTCTTTCCGAAGAACATAAATAGGCGCCTGAAAACTTTACCTTTTAGGTAGCTAAGTACGCGAGTGTCAGCGGCACTGAAAAACTACGCCCGAAAGGAACCTCTGCTCGCAAGGTATATATTGAAGCCCGTGCAACTAGTTCACAGAACGAAAATCGACCAGTCAAAGAAAAACCACATATTGATCTGTTAGGATCCACGTTGTATTAAAAAAAATTCTTTTCTCCATATACATATAGCATTGAGCCTTGAATGCAACAAATGCTTCAGCAAAGTATCTTGGGTAGACTGCGAGGATAAGCAATTCACCTGCCCGACTGACAAGGCCGATCGCTGTGTTACATCATATAGTCAAAAATGGTGACGAACAAACATTTTCCAAGTACCTCGGCGCCAGCGAATGCAAGGGTTACTTGTTGTAGAGGCGAACTTTGTAACTCGGGTTTTGCAGCTGCCAAGATCAGCGGTGTCGTGATGTTGACATGCGTATTAACGTTACTGGTGTTTTCAAATTTCTGACTGATTTCACTGTGTACCACTGGGTATTTTAAAAATGTAACTGATATTCTCTTATTTGTAGATAAAAATGTTGGATTATTCAGTCATAGTTGTAAAGAAAAATATTTCAGCTTTTTGACGAATATTATTTGCAAAAAGTATTACAAGAAGAGTGCAATTTAAGGTAACAAACAATCTTGTTCATTTCCCTTTTCCCGATTCACATGCCCAATACAGTCGACTCCCGATAACTCGAACCTCATGCTAACTCGAACCAAAATCGATTTCCCCTG